GTTGTTTAGTATGTTATCACAGCAAAGTTTTCTTTTGGATTGGCTTAGCTAAGGAAAAAATAAATTCTAGATGAGTTGATATGCATGTTTCTAGGTATCGATCAAGTTGCAATACACTAAGCTAAGTCAATTAAGCTAAGTCATTACACATTTTAACATTGTTATGTGGTCTATGCTTGCCCCAATATTCTGTTATTTTGTAAAAGTTATGCATATCCTCACTTTCCCCTTTTTAGCTACTGTTTTCACAGGTTTTTAGTAAATGTAGGTGTTCAAGAGAAGATCAAATGATACTGGTCAGAGCTAGTGATAAAATGGTCAGATTTACCCATATAGCTCTGATGATTGATCAGCAACCTGAAATTTTAACAGAATCAGATTTTGCTTGAGCATGGATACTAAAACATGTGGATTTTCACTGTGTGTCAGATACTCAAGAGACAGACTTAATTTCTGCATGTGACCTATTGAGTTTGGCAGGCTTTTCTCATCAATCCCTGAGCTTTTGAACTCAGGTACACAGAGATGAAGATCTTCAGTCATTGCTTCACTGAGCCATCTACAAAATAAACCAAACAAAACCAAACAATATGTATGCATATATTTTGTTTGAAGACATGTTCCACAAAGCAAGCAACCAAGTAAACCGCTGGTCTAATTATATGACAATCATTGCGGCAAACCATACACAATTTTTAAACCACTGCATATGTTTTTCCATAAAAAGAAATAAAAAAGAAAAAATACATCTTATTACTTCTATTCTGACATTGTTATATCATCCACTGTAATCCTTCATTTGATGGCTAAGTCATAATTTCAAGATTTTTATTTATCTTTGAGAGAGGCAAAGGTTTTTTTTAGTGGTATCTTTTAGTGTACCAACAAAAGATATGATCAAAATACCTTGCCCCTCATATATTTTTTGGACCATCAAGACTGCAGCAGCACTCTATCCTTACTACATTCAGCTAATGGTTGAAAATGCCCCAAAGATGTGTTATCCTGGTGTACTGTTAATGTTAACATACTGGTATGTTGAAAAAACCTTGGCCAGAGGTGGGGCCATTTTTCAACAATACACAAAAACTTTTCTTTCTTTCATTAGTGTCCTTGCTTTCCAAACAATAGGGCACTTATTAAAAAGGGATGTATAGGCTTCCTGACTCTCTCTGCTCTCATAGGCCTTGAGAGGCTATAACTGTCTTAACTACAGTTTTTCATCTCCTCTTAACTTGAGCAATCTCCTTCCATTTTGTCATATCTTCACCCATCCCTTCCAGCTCAGTTTTTATGTTATCTTCCCGTTGTAGTCTTGGTCTACCTTGAGGTGTGATACCTTCTACCTCAGCTTCTAAAATCTGCCTCACGTGCCTTCTCTTGTCAGTTGTCATGATATGCCCTGCTCATTTCATTCTGTATCCTGAAATATTTAACAAGCAAAATTATTCCCTACCCTCTAGAAGAAATGTACACAACATACTTCAGTTCCTTTTTCTATATATTCCCAGAGTGTTAACACAGGTTAGGCTCAATTACCATCTGAACTCTTCGCTGTGGTCAGATTTCAAAATATGGTTTACATTGGAGTTTGGCAATATACATCCCACAGGCCAAATCCAGCCAGTAGAGCCATTTGATCTGGTTTGCAGATGTGGGGCTTTGGTGGCATTTGGCAGTGGAGAAGCTTCTGTGGTGGTGGCCACTTTGGGAACTGTATGAATTTTCCTTGTGCTGACGGGGGGAAACATGGTGATGGCAGGTGGGTATATAGAAAAGAGTGTTTCACAATGGTTCTTAAGGCCATAGTCAGGCATGAAAACATACCATCTATTTTCAAAATCAACTTCCTCTTGCAGCATCACTTGAATTCAAAATTTAAAAAATCAAATCAAGACATTTATCAAAAGGAACAGCGATTGATTTAGATATTTAACTTTTGCACCCATTCTTTAATAACAGTCCCAATACTACTATTTGTTTGGGGCTGAGAGTGTGCACAGTTCTGTGCAAATCAAGAAAAGTTTACTGCAGACCCTAAAACAGGTTTTTCATCTTTTTAGACTTGAGGCATGCTTTCATGACATCTGTGAATTAAGTGGCAGCCCATTTGAAAAACTAATACAAAGAGGAATCTTCCAGTAAACAGAGAAGTTATCTGTCAGTCTGTAGATGATTGATTAAGCTGACTTGAGATCTGCTTGTTCGACTGTGGACACTGCAAATAGTTCTGGGTGGAAGTAGATCCTGGTGATGTCAGGTCACAGCTCTGCTCTTTTCATTGATTTCCTTCACTATCTGCCTCCATAACAAGGCAAGTTTGCCCAAAATGATACCTTGTCATACATCACAGCACCACTAGGGAGGATTCGGTGCTTGCATCTCCTCGGTATTGATGTTAATATCACATCTCTTCTCTTACCCACCTCTAGAGTGACGACTATCAGTGAGTTGGGAGTATAGGACCTGTTTTGGGAGCTGGTTGTCAAGCATCCTTATGACATGCTCTAACCAACAACATTGGTCTTGTATAAACATGCCTTTATGCTGCTGGTGTTTGCCTGAGCCAGAACACAAGTTCATTTTTCTGTCCTTCCAATTAATATAAAAGATTTTCCTAAGACATCTCCTCACTGGAGCCTGCACTTATCTTACTTATCTCCTCTCTCCCAGAGGCACACTTCAAAGGCTGTCATGGCACCCCAGGATGCCATGGCATATTGGTTGATAATCACTGCCCTAAAGAGACAAGCAAAATAAAATACCATGGGAGACCCAAAGGAAAGTTGTGAATATGTTTTTGTTTTGTTTTACATTTGGTGGGGGGCTTTTGTTGAAATACATCCACATTTATGAACTTTGTGAAATAAATATATTTCAATTTGCTTGCAAAAATACTAACTTGTTATCTGTTTATGATTCAGGGACTGACATTACGTAGATCTCTTACTCCGAGCCCAGATTGATAGATTAAACTCTTGCTAATGTTGAGGTTACTGGCAAAACTCCCACACAGTTCGTGGCGCTGGAATTTCACCTATTATCTCTATTTTTCATTCCTATCTATCCAAATACTAAAAATATTCTTTTACTGAGAAAAGTGAATGATTTCTAACTACTACAAGCTATCAATAAAGAATACTTTTTAGAACAGAATGTGAAATAAAAGTATATTCTGTTTAAATCTTAGAATTTGAACATTACCTGTATGACCTTCTATGAATGCATTTGTCTCATGTTTGTAAGAATTAAGAGGAAATACAAAAGTACAAGCATAAATCAATAAAAAATACTCTTTAATAAAATCACTGTAATGAGTCTTAGCATAAACAGCGTTATCTCTGAAAAAGAAATAAGCTTCATTATCAGATCTCTCCTTTCTCTTTGAGTCATACTTTGCTCAGAAGCAATGGGGAGGAAAGTTAAGTCTTTGGTATAGTATAGATAGCCAGTGCACATCAATACTGTGTTGGAATGTACACGGGGTTACTGCCATGAAAATGAATGGCCTATATGCTTCTGCTTTGTCTGCACCTAGAATTTAATGGCTGTGAGAGTACTATTTTTCAAAGGATGGAGTAAGTGAGTCGGCAAGATTTCCTAGCCTAGTCTGATGCAGTGTAAACATGCCCTTATGAACACTGTATTAGGACTATTCATGCAAGTAGATTGGGTTATATGTAGGCCTAAAGCCGGAAGTGCTGATCTAAGACAAGAAAGTGTTTATCTTGTATGTTCAATGTAATATGGCTCCCCCAGCAAACAGATCCATATTTAGTAAACTGTCTTGCAATTTTTGCTTACAAGGCTGAAGTGATCAGAGCTAAACATCCTTTACTGTTGTTATTACCAATAAACTTTATCACTATATTCTTTTTTTACTGTGTTAATTGTGGACCTATGCACAACATTTTTATAGATTCATGATCTGATTTATCACCATATTTGTGATATGTTAATTCTAGGAGTCGGAATAATGCTTTTATAATGGTTGGCCCTATTTTATAATTATATTCTCATTTCTGTTATTTTTGTTTAAATTTATATTATGGTTGTATATCTGTTATGTTGTTTTTGGGAGCATGACTTTCAGGCAGAATCCTTTATAAATTGAATTGAATTGAATTGAATTGAATGTTCAACGCCATTAGGTAATAAAGAGGGAAGAGAATAATTCTGTTCTTATGTGACAATGTTCTGACACTGTTGACTCAGGTTAACTCCTTAGCATGACAAGTATAAATACAACTGGAAGCAATGGTAATGATTACACAGTACTGTGAATCCCATTGGTGCTGATGTATTTCCTGATATTGTATGTGTGCAACTAATTTGAGTCATACACAAAATGAAGGAAAAACAATTCAAGGAATATTCAAATTTCTAACTCTCTGGGCACATCTATATGTGCTGATTTAAGGTGCTTTAGCTTGATTTAAGGCACATTAAAGGCACACATCTACACATGTGTGCCCATAATGTGCCTTAAAAATGGCAATTTTAGGCTATTTGCACCTAAATGTGATACCTGCAAAAGCAAAAGCAGGTATCACATTTAGGTGCAAATAGCTAAAGCGCAGTAATACACATGTAGATGCATTAAGGTGCATTAATCCTGTGTATTGATTTGGGACTAACTTTAGTCCTACATCAGTCCGTGCACATGGCATTAATGCGCTTTAACACATGCATGTGTAGACACACACCTAAATCGCCTGAATGCTCATTAAGCTAATACGCATTAAATATAGGAGTGCCTAAATGCACATGTAGACATGTCCTCTGATATGAAAATTTACAACAAAGAGCATTTAATAATAAATAAATGCTTGTAGAATCACAGAGACTACTAATCATGATCTAGTCAGACCTGTACTATCCAAGTTATGGAATTTTACTCAATAATTCCTGCAGTAGAAAGAATTAATTTTTAATGGTTTACTGAAATTTATTTTTCATAAACTTATTATTTGACTTTAATCATTTTAGATCTTTATTGAGAAAATATGAAAAAGTTACATCGTTCCTCTGCTACATATTGACAACTGAACTCTTTCAGTGGTTGTTAGCCATAGGTCACTTCGAAGCATCCACAGAATTTTTTTCCTCAGGATGAAAGAGACATCCTTGATAAACAGGAACAAATAAGCAAAATGAGTCACATATAATTAGAAACAAAGGTTATGGTTCTCAATTAAGGCTGATTAACATTTGTAAACCCTGAATTAGTTTCCTTATCCTGTTTTCTGTATGACTTTTTTCCCCTAGTCCACCCATCAATTTTATAATTAAAAAAACAGCATTAGTAAATGGGGTGAAATGTCCATTTGCTGCTTATGTAATAGACGCAAACCTCCTTCTCTATTGTGAAGGCCAATTAGGAGACAATTCTGTCCCTCAGTCTTACAAATAACATAGCTTACCCGTGAGTCTCCATTTCCTTTTGGAAAAGTAGGTAGTTTGCAAACACCTACGGTTGTTCATCACCATTTTGAAAAGTCTTTTTATTTTTTTAAGTATATTTTTCTACTCTGGGGTCCTAGAACAATCTGAAGATTTTCTTGTATCCTTTTGTTGTTGCTATTGTTGTTTTATTTTACAGATTACACATCAGCATTAGACTTGATGTCACTGAAATGCTTGCAAATAATAAGATCTTTGTTCCCTTTCCTACTGATATTATTATTAAGTATTTATATAGTACTACAAATGGACACAGCACTTCACAAAATACAAAAGGAAGTATGGGTTGGATGAATGAACTGTAAGGTGGATAGAAAGCTGGCTGGATTGTCAGGCTCAATGGGTAGTGATCAATGGCTTGAGGTCTAGTTGGCAGCCAGCGGAGTGCCCCAGGGGTAAGTCCTGGGGCTGGTTTTGTTCAATAACTTTATTGACGATCTGGAAGATGGGATGGATAAGCAAGTTTGCAGATGACACCAACCTGTGGGGTGGAGTAGGGCTAGGATTCAGAGTGACATAGACAAATTGGAGGATTGGGCCAAAAGAAATCTCATGAGCTTCAACAAGGACAAGGGCAAAGTCCTGTACTTAGGACAAAAGAATCCCATGCACTGTTACAGGCTTGGGACCAACTGGATAAGCAGCAGCTCTGCAGAAAAGGACCCAGGGGTTACAGTGGATAATAAGCTGGATATGAGTCAGCAGTGTGCCCTCGTTGCCAAAAAGACTACGAGAATACTGGGCTGTACTAGTAGGAGAATTGCCAGCAGATTGAGGTAATTAATTATTTCCCTCTGTTCTGCACTGGTGAGGCCACATCTGGAGTAATGTGCCCCACAAAAGGCCCAAATAGAAAGGATGTGGACAAATTGTAGAGAGTCCAGCAGAGGACACTGAAAATGGCTAGGGGTCTGGGGCACATGACTTATGAGGAGAGGCTGAGGAAACTGGGCTTATTAGGCTGCAAAAGAGAAGACTAAAGGGGGAATTGATAGCAGCCTTCAACTACCTGAAGGGTGGTTCCAAAGAGGATGAATCTAGACTGTCTTCAGTGGTGGCAGATGAGAGAACAAGAAGCAATGGTCTCAAGTTGCAGCAAGGCCTTGCTCTTCCAAAACATCATAAGAATAGAATCTTGACGTATATATGAAGGAGACACTTGTCCCCCGGCCAGAAACTACCAAATATTATGTATTGTACCAAATAAGTAGCAATTATTTTTTGTCACAGATGCTCACTTTTTACTCATAGTGGAAGTATGTTCAAAAGGTTTCTTCCTACTGCTCTTTTCCATTTTAAGTGCATGATGATCTCATGAGGTGTGAGACTAGTAGCCCAGGCTACTATGGTGAAGTAAGATATGAGTAAGCTCAGGGGTTGATGGGATGATAAGAATTGCATAGCGACTTTAGAAGTTTCAGAATTTGTTTCTGTTCCATACTGGAATGGAAAGAAAAACTTTAATAGAAATGTATTTATGTATTGTATTGATTTATTAGATTTATATTCTGCCCTATTCAAAAGGCTCACAGCACCTTACAATAAATATACAAACAACCCATAGTTGGATTCCCTAACACCCTCACCCAAAACTTGAAACCTCCAACTCCTTCCCCACCCTCCACAACTACCAGTTTCCTGCCTAAACTCCAATACAAATAAACCCCATGGCCTTTCTTTACCATGCATTCCAACTTCCATTTAGATCCATAAGACCTTTTCCTACTTCCTCTACTCCCTTCCCACCCATTTTCATTCCCCCACCTTGTTCCCAGGGGAAATCCCCCCACCTTCCCCCAATGTCCCTTCTAAGCCTGCACCCCGTATCCTCCCCATCCCTGCAACAAACACAACATTGAATTAATTTTAACAAAAAAGGGAAAGAAAGATCCTTCCTCCCCTCCTCAGTCAGTGCTGAATGGTGCCTATAAACATCACCCTTAAGCAGTGCCTAAACCTCAGAGTGGTACCTACCCAGGGAGGGCGGTTGCCTTTATTGCATCTGCAGAGTAACCAGGACTTTCTTCCTCCTTCTGGACACCCAAGAGGGTGTCTGATCTGATAAGGAAGGGAGTGATATCAGCAGTTCTTCATCTCAGGGAGGTCTACTAGCTCTGCAGTGCTTGCTGGGTGGCTGGGTCTTTCTCCCTTCCTTTGGGAAATGGAATCGTGTGCATCACTCTGTGGCCTGGTCTGTAAAAGACACAAGTCTGAGTTGATATTCTATTTGCTGCAGAAGAGGGTTTTTATCACAGTTCAGGGACTTCAACATGGTTCTTCCAGTCTCTTAGGCGGTAACCTAACCACCCAACGTTAGAGCCTTTCATGCTTTGTTTACCCTTTTCTCAGGGGAAACATCATATTTCATCAAAAAATGTTCTTACAAGGGCTATGTAAGCTCTCTGACAGTTCCATTCTCTTCCCTTTTGAACTAAAAAATATGCAAGAGTCTTCCAAAGATTGCTGTAAAACAAGAAAGTACAAATTACAGCCTCTCATTTCAACAGTCTTATAGTGTGAGCACCAGAGGGAGAGTGTGGTTTCCATAAGAGTAGAGATTTCCAATAAAAAACAGGAAATTATTATCTACATGCTCAAAGCACACTTACCTGCAGCTCCCACAGACTCCAAATATAGCCAATTCTCTGTTACTACAATAAGGTAGTGTAGAGAACAGAGCAGTCTCAGTTACAACGAAAATATTTTTTTCTTTGAACTGGAGCTCATGGAGACTGTTTGACTCTTGGAGTTCCCCCTGCCTCCTTCGTATACAGGCTATCTCACACTTCCTAGTGACACAGCACAAAGGGCAAGAGCCTCCCGTATGATAAGGCTGGCTCCACTGAAACCAATTCTCTGTGTGTTGGGATGCTCTGGGGACACAGCATCATCATAACAGCTCCCACCTGGCTGAAATTGGGTGAAAAATAGAAGTATTTCTTGCAAAAATTGTCCCTGTTCCTTATTGAAATATATCATCATTTCAACGAACTCAATATCATAGCTGCTCTCCTTATGTCCTGGATTGAGCAGGGCAGCTCAGTAATTAGCTTGAATATGTTAAATAAAAAGATGTTTCTAGTCATAGCTGACTATGGGTGCATCTACACATGCTATTAATGTGACTGAATATACTCTGACTCAATTTTAGCTGGTGTAAACTAATCCCTATGTCATGTCTACATGTGTGTTTAAGCGCAGTAATTTACTGTGGCATAGGATAGTACCTGTGTCTGACAGGACTATCCTGTCAGAGTAAATTAATTTACTGCACACTAATTGTGGTTCACATGTAGACAGCGATGTTTTACTATACAGTAAATTAGTCTAATGAGCAGTAAAGTGCATGCGTGACGTAGAGTAAGCTGTCTTGGGAACATAGTGTCCAGGGAGTGTGGCATCCTGGGAGACACTCTGAGTGAGGCAGCAGGCAGGAAGAACTTCCTGCTGGCAGCTGCCTCACCCTGGCTGTCTCCCAAGAAGACATCCCAGGATGTCACACAAGGTTAAACCCCAGATCTTTGCAAGGGCAGTAGCAAGACTGTTACTTCTTACTCTAAGAAGCATTTTTATATATGGTCCTGTAAATTAGTGTTTTTTCCACTTCCCAAGCCTCATCAAGATACTACCAGCAGCTCACCTCCTATTTCAGGCACAAGCTACAAAACTCAGCCAATAGCTATGGCTGTGAAAGTGTTAACATTGGACTCCACCCTTTTAGCTTATTAAACCAGACACAAGTGGTAGCCATCTTGGCAGCTGCATGCATACACAATGTTTTCCGGGATTCCAGGAGTGCTCCTTTTCCAAAGAAGAAAACATCTTTCCTGCTTAAAACACACGTGAATTTTAGGGGGCTGAAAGTTGTGGAAAAGATGTGTTGTATAGGAGAAAATATGGTATTTGTTATTTAGTTGTGTATTTTCTGCTGAGGTAGACACATCTCGCCAGCTGGATCGCTAGTGTGTTATGCGTGATGCCATATTAAGATTTCATTTCTTGTTTCTATGTTTTCAGCTCAAACCTTCTGTGGAACAAGGCCATACATTTTAAAGATTGTCCTGAATATAATCATCATTTGAAATGGGATGTACCTATGATAAGTATCTATGGCTCTCTGTAGTAGCATATCTCATCTGATCAAATTCACTCTAGTGTCAGCTGGTTGGCAAAGGTATGGTAATGAGAACTGAGTCATGTGTCACAAAAAGACAGTTATACCTACCAATTTTACTGATCTCACATCCAAAAAAGATTGTTTCAAGATACCATACTGAGGTGCCTATTGGATAAATCCTGCAAGTTGCCAAAATGCAGTTCCCACTGAAGTCAATGTTTACTGTGGGGAACTCACTACATTACAGATTCTGATGAAGGCTAAAGTGATGAACTGACTAAGGAATTGCCTTTTCTCACCTGTTATATAATGTAGCAGCATGCACAACAGACGCAGTTCTTTCCTTGCTGATATCCTAGTCCCTTCTCCCTACCTTCCCCAGCAGTATAAGGCTGTTAGGTGTTGTCCTTTTTCTCAGGATGGCCAGCTGTTGCTGTACCTTTAAATCTGACAGAGACTGCAGCCCTAAAATAGCAATTTTACAAATAGCTGCATCTTGCTACGTCGTTCATTCATCTGGGAAGGCCCTAAACTCCTACTTCCTAATTTTGTAGCCCACTCATTCTTGATGAATTAATTTCGGGGGGGATTGCTGAATCTTTCTGCCTTCTGGGGTTAGGGCAATTTCTCCAGTATCCTGTTTCAGGAGTGCTGAGCAGACTTGACTACAATATATTTGCAGCGTTGCACTACTCAGCCCATAACATGTCAAAAATCTTTGTACTTTTTGGAACAAGAAAATTGTCCGTAAGGTCTAAAAATTGTTACTGGCTTTATTTATAGAAACTTTCATTTTAGGCTGTCATAGATTCATAGATTGTAAGGCCGGAAGGGACCTCGGAAGATCATCAGGTCCAGCTTCCTGCACCAAGCAGGAAAGATAACTGGGGGTCAGGTGACCCCAGCAAGGAGACTGTCTAGTCTCCTCTTGAAGATTTCCAGGGTTAGTGATTACACCATCTCTGGAAGGAGCTTATTCCACAGTCTGGACACCCTGACTGTGAAGAAGTTTTTCCTAATGTTGAGCCCAAATCCATCTTCCAGGAGTTTGTGGCCATTACTCCCGGTTTTCCCCTTGGGTGCCCTGGTGAAAAATTGCTCACCGAGCCCTTAATGTACTGTAAGCTGCTACCAGATCCCATCTCAGCCTTCTTTTCTTCAGGCTGAAGAGCCCCAGATCCCTCAGCCTTTCATAGATTTCATAGATTTCATAGACATTAGGGCTGGACAGGACATCAGGAGATCATCGAGTCCAGCCTTCTGCCCGAAGGGCAGGAAGTCAGCTAGGGTCAAAGGATCCCAGCCAGATAAGTGTCCAAACACTTCTTAAAGCAGTCCAGAGGAGGTGCTTTCAGCACCTCTGGAGGGAGCCAATTCTAGGCCTTGGGGGCTTGGACAGTAAAGAAGTTTTTCCTTATGTCCAGCCTAAAACTATCTTGGAGGAGTTTGTGATCATTGGACCTTGTCACCCCTTGGGACGCTCTGGTGAACAGGTGTTCCCCCAGATCCTAATGCAAACCTCTGATGTACTTATAGGCTGCCACCAGGCCCCCCCTGAGCCTATGCTTTTCCAGGCTGAAGAGTCTTCATAGACATTAGGACTGGAAGGGACTTCAGAAGATCATTGAATCCAGCCCACTGCTCCAGGGGCAGGAAGTCAGCTGGGGTCATAGGATCCCAGCAAGATAAACATCCAAATTTCTCTTGAAGGCATTCAAAGTAGGTGCTTGAACCACCTCTGATGCCAGGCTATTCCAGACCTTGGGGGCTCGGACAGTAAAGAAGTTCTTCCTTATGTCCAGCCTGAAATGGTCTTGGAGGATTTTATAACCATTGGACCTTGTCATCCCTTGGGGCACTCTGGTGAACAAATGTTCCCCCAGATCCTGGTGAATACCCCTTATAAGGTTATAGGTGACCATCAGATTGCCCCTTAGCCTGCACTTTTCCAGACTGAAGAGTCCCATAGCTCTCAGCCACTCATCATAAGGTCTGTTTTCCTGACCTCTGATCATGCACATGGCTCTCCTCTGGACTCTCTCTAGCTTCTTCACATCCTTCTTGAATTGTGGAGCCCAGAATTGGTTGCAGTACTCCAGCTGCAGCCTCACCAAGGCTGAATACAATGGGAGGATGGCATCCTGAGATTTACTTCAGAAGCATCAATGGATGCAAGCCAGAGTTTGGTTTGCTTTACCAGCTGTGACATCGCATTGGTGGCTCATGTTCATCTGGTGGTCAGTCATGACCCCCAAGCCTCTTTCAGCCTTGGTGCTAGCAAGTGTAGTACTGTCGAACCTATAAGTGTGCTGCAGGGTTTTTTTTCCCAAGGTGGAGTACCTTACATAAGTCAGTATTGAAAGTCATCAGATTTGTATCTGCCCACTTTTTCAGCCTATCCAAGTCAGCCAGGATCACCAGCCTATCCTCCGGTGTGGATACTCTACCCCAAAGTTTGGTGTCATAGGAAAACTTGGCCAGTCCACTTGTGATACCTGTATCCACATCATTGATAAATATGTTAAAGAGAACAGGTCCAAGGACAGAGCCTTGGGGGACACCACTGGTCACAGAGCACCATGATGATTTGCTTCCATCAACCAACATGCTCTGAGTCCAGCCTTGGAACCAATTCTCCAGCCATCAGACTGTGATATAGCTGAGACCACAGTTGACCAATTTTTCTAAGAGGAGATCATAGGACACCAGATCAAAGACTTTTTTGAAGTCCAGATATATGACGTCAATCTCTTCTCCCTTGTCCAGGTGATATGTCACCTGGTCATAGAAGGAAATGAAATTGGTCAGGCAAGACCTACCCACAACCAACCCATGCTGGCTGTCACTCAGGATGTTGCCATCAGCCATCTTGTCAAGAATGGACTCTTTGATGATTTTTTCCAAAATCTTACCAGGGATTGAGGTCAAGCTGATTGGCCTGTAGTTTCCTGGATCTACTTTCCTCCCTTTCTTGAAGATTGGGACCACATTGGCCTTCTTCTAATCTTGAAGGTACTTCACCTGAGTGCCAGGATGGGCGCTCATTTTCTTGTATGGCTTGCTGTGTAAGACTCTG